TACTAAAAATAGAAAGAAATTAGGTGGGCGACTAAAAATATATAGACAAATTTAGCCGGGCATGGTGACGCATGCCTGTAGTCCCAGCTACTTGGGAGGCTGAGGCAGGAGGATCGCTTGAGCCCAGGAGTTTGAGGTTGCCGTGAGCGAAGCTGACGTCACGGCACTCTAGCCCAGGCAACAAGAGGGAGACTGTCTCAGGTAAAAAAAAATCATCTCATGTCACTCCCTCGCCTGAACCCCCGAGGTTTCCCTCTGTGAGAGCGAGGTCCATGCTGGACACCAGGCCTCGCCCAGCCTCACCCCCGTCTCCGGGCTGCGCGGCTCGTGTGTGCCTGGCCAGCCCCCTCGGGCGTCCTGGGTCTCGGCCTTCTCTCCTCCCAGGCAGCACTGCTGTCTGCTCAAACGTCTCCACCCGGGGCAGGACAGTCGCCTGTCTTGTTCGCTGCTGTACCGGGGCCTAGCGCAGGGCCTGGCAGAAGAGAGCAAAGTTCTCCCGGGACGAGGCTGGAAGTGCAGCCACGGTGTGGCCTGCGGCGGCGGGCGGGGCTCGTCCCCTGTGCACCCGCAGCCCAGCCTCCGTCCTCATTCTCGCCAGGCCCCGCCCATCCAGCAGGGCCCAGGTCCAACTTCCCGATCACACGAGCTCCGGCTCGTGACCCCGCCCGCTGCTCCCCAGGGGCAGGCCCAGGCCCCAGGTCAGAGCCACTGAGCAGCTGGGTGTTCTGCCCACAGGCCCGGCCACAGCTGCCTGAGGACAAGTGGAGAGTCTGAGAGTTCACGAAAACAGAAGCAGCCGGGCAGACAGCACACGCCTTGCACGTGAGCGCACTGTGCTGTCTCAACAAGTCTAAGCCCCATGCACTGTGATTAACACCCCCACTTTACAGAGGAAACTGAGACCCAGAGAGAAGAAGCCACTTGCGGAGGCCACCAAGCCCACACTCCCGACCCGATGCTGCAGGGCGGCCTCCTGGGCTGGCTGAGGGGTTGAGAGCTGCAGGCCGTGGGCACGGTCTGCAAAGCGCAGGGCGCAGGGCAGGCTAAGGGGGCCCCACCTCCCCTCCATACCCCTCAGGCCAAACCTCCAGGCCCCATAAAGCCAGTGACAGGTGCCACCTCGGGAGGACTACAGAGCGAGGGCCCCCGGGGTGCCAGACCCATTAACAACAGCACTGAGGACGGGGACAGTGCTGTTCTGACAGCCCAGGGAGGGTGTCATTACCCCATTTTACAGATGAGGAAACCAAGGCGCCTGCCAAGGCCACACAGCTAGTTCTCTGTGACGCTCATCAACTGGGACTCTACCCGGCCCATCTGGGACTGTCTCTTCCGTGATTGGAAAATCCCCAACGAGCACACGCCGGCGCGGGCGATGTCCACACTGCGACGGTGGAGACGCCAGCCTGGAACCCCCGCGAGAGTGGGGGCACCGGGCCAGCCGGGGGGACCAGGAAGGGGACAGGGACACAGCTGAGACAGCAAAGGTCCGAGGGCCGCCAGAGTGTGGCGGGGCGGGACACCAAGGACCCTGACGGTGAAGAGAACCTTCCAGAAAGCTCCCAGCGGTGGAGGCGGGAGGTCTGCGCACGGTCAGGCAGAGAAAGGCCGCAGCTGCGGCCGCCTCCCAGGGCACGGCCGAGGCTCAGATTCCACAGGCGGCTGCGGGTTTGAATCCTGCTCAGCGGCCCCTGTGCTGACCTTGGGCATGTCATTTAGCGGCTGCTTTTCTCCTTCAGCACCCTCAGCCTCGTGGAAATAATGGCGCACTGCCCCGCGGACACAGTGCCGCACTGGGCCCCGAGACAGCTGAGCTGGGGCGTCAGAAACCCCACCCGGCAGATGCGGGCTACTCAGACCGCCTGGCCTGGCTCGGGTTTGGTTCTGGAGGAACCATCCACTTCACCTAAGCTGCTGAAGTTACTGGAACAGAGGTGTCCCCACACGGTCCCTCCACGCTGTGGCACCTGCAGCAACCTGTCCCCCTTCATCAGCGGTGTTGGCCATTTGCGTTCTCTTCTTGATCAGCCTGGGGAGGGACTTCTCAATCTGTTGGTGTTTTTGAAGAAACGACTCCAGCATTGTGGCTTTCCTGCCTGGCTTGTTTCCCAGTTCTTGGTCTCTGCCGTCCGCACCTTCCTTCCTCTGGCGGAGGCTCAGTTCTGGCTTCAGCTTCTCCTGGAGAAACCTGGGTTGCTGACTGCAGACTTCTCTCCTTTCCCAACAGGAGCATCTAACGCTGGAGGTCTCCCTCTGGGCAGCGGTTAGCAGCCCCCATACATCCTGGGGCGTGTCCGCTGTTTCCCAGCGGAAGCCAGTTCAAAGGAGACACAGCAGGTGGAAGCCCAGGACCTGCTGCTGTGCCAGGCGGGGGGCATCCGGGCAGACGCTGGTTCCTCCAGAGTGGGGAGAGGCAGGACTGGGCGCTCTGGCTTGCTCGCACAGAGGGGGCCGGGCGCAGCTGAGGCACAGGGGTCGGCCACGAGTGGCTGAGCTGGCGGGTGAGGAACGCAGCGCAGGTGCCCCTGTGGGACCGGCAGGACCCGTCCAGGGCTGCCTGCTCTGTGTCACCCGTGGTCACCAACCACGAGAAATGCGGCCAGCCTGAACTGAGCAGTGACGGGAACGTAGGACTCAGGAGACAAAAAAATAATGAAGATATCTCACTGGTCACATTTATACTGATTACAGGTTGAAAATAACACTATTTTGGAAATGCATGGAGTTACTTTAAAATATGTGATTAAAATTAGTTCCATCCATTTCTTTTTACTTTCTTTTTTTGACGAGTCTGCTTTGTGCACGGCTGTGGTGGACCGGTGCGTCACCTAGTCACAAATCAACTAGGGTCAAGCGAATCCCTCCTGCTAGCTCCGAGTGCTGGGACTACAGGCGTGTCCACATACCCGCTTTAATTTTTTAAATATTTTAGTTGGCATTTTTCCTTTTTTCTTGTAGAGATGGGGTCGTCCTTGCTCAGGCTGGTTTCAATCCTGACCTTGGCGATCCGCCGCCTCAGCCTCCCAGAGTGCTGGGATTACAGGCGTGAGGCACCGCCCGGCCTTTTTACTTTCTTAGTGTGGCTATCGGAAGGTTCAGAACTCTCTGCGAGGCCCACACCGCATTCCTGTTAGGCAGCACCGCTCCGAGCAGTCCAGGCCCTGCCCCGTGGCGGAATCGGAACTTGCGCCCACGAGGTTCCGGGACCCCTCGTGCGCCTGCTCCCCGCAGTCTACCACCCGCGCTGGCGTGGTGGCAGACTTGTGTGCAGGCAGGGGACGAGTCTCCTCACATTTCCCACGGCTCTGCTCTGCAAGCGCCTGTGGTGTCCCTGCGCCTTCCAGCTGAAGGAGGAGGAGGAGGAGGAGGAGGAGGAGGAGGAGGAGGAGGAGGAGGGCCTGTCAGTGCAGCCGGAACGCCCTCTGCTGGGTCTGGGAACCGGGCTCTGCCCACTCTGGGACCTGGGGCCGCCGCTCCGCCCCGGTTGCTCCAAAGCCCCTGGCCTGCTGAGCTCCTCCCTCGGAGAATCTTCCCACACGCGAAACGCTGCCTGCCCTGGCCCGCCTCTCCTGCTGCGGCGGGCTCCGCTCCTGTCCCAGGCGCCTCAGTGCCAGCCTGGTGCCGGGCGCAGGCAAGTGCTCACGGGAATGAGTGACTCCGGAGGGTCCAGGCAGCTTCTCCCACCCCAGGCGGCGTTTCTAACACGGAGAGCAGGCGTGGGCTGTGGCCCTGGGCCAGCCCGGCTCGGGAGGCGCAGGCAGGCCTCCTCTGTGGGGACGTCACCCACACACACCCTCTCTCCGCAGGGGCACCGCAGCCTCAGGCCCCATCACTGGGTCTGCGCCACCTCCCCTGCACGGCAGACTGCCTCAGTCGTCTTCCGGGGACCGGTCCTGAGCACCCCTTTCTCCACCGTGACGACAGCCTCAGGTGTGGCCATCAGTCGGGCCGGGCAGGAACAGGGGCTGCCTGGGCCGAGGCTCCTCCGCCCAGAAGTCCCTGCAGGCCCCGTCCCCAGAGGGTCTCGTGGGCAGCAGGTGGCCTCCCCCGGCCCCTGGCCTCCAGGCAGGCCCGCCCTGCCACCCGCCCCCGCCTCGGGGCAGGCCCCCTCACTGAGCCCGAGTCCAGCCCAAGCCACGTCCCCTGTCAGCAGGCGGGTCACAGTCAGACTGGCGACCAGCGTTTCAAAACCACCGAACCCACAGAAAGATGGGGGTTTGCAGCTGCTCGGAAGCAGCCAAGATCCAGCCCCACGGAGGCACCGGTGGCCCCTCAGGGTCCCGGCGGCTCCGCCCTCCCCAGAGCAGCACCTTGAACACCAGGCCAGCGTGGACACAGGGCCACTGGGTGTCACGGCCTGGCTCTGGAGCCTCTCTGGGTCCCCAGGGGGCCTGGTGGCTTCCTCAGCAGGTGTCCACTGTGCCCCCAGCTCCCTGCCGTGGGGGCGTTGCCCAGGTGGCTGCCCACTGCCGACCCTCCCGGCACAGAAGGCCCCCGCAGCTGTCCAGGCCTGCACTTGGGACAAGGCCCCTCAGTCCTGCCCCCAGGAGGGACAAGCTGGAAACAGCCAGGGCAGTTTAAACCATTCCCACCCTCAGTGCGCAACAGGGGTGTTGGAAGGTGGTTTCAGCCCCCCTGTGAGTGACTTCGAGGGTAATTACAGCAAGATGGCAACTGTCCCCAAATCCACGGCTAGGACCAGCCCTGAGGCTCCCCGAAGGCACCTTGGTGGCTGAGACTCGTCCCTGGCTTGGTCTGAATTCAGCCTTCGCAGGAAGACCTACCTGGGGCGCAGGCCTCCCGGCACCCACCTAGGGGGCAAACTGCCCCCAGCCCCCTCTCCTCGGGCCAGGCTGGGCCAGAGCAGACACCCAGGCCCCCGAGTCCAGTCGGAATCTAATGAAACAAGAGCCAAGTCCATTTGCGTAAGAACCCTTTGTCAGAATAAACCAGGTAAGACGCACACTCATCTATTTAAATTACAGACACTAATGCTGTTATAAAAAATAGTGGCACGGCACTTTTTATTTCTTTTAATCAGAAAAATAAGCCCTGCGTTTCTGGATGGAGGCCCCAGGTGAGCACCGAGGAAGGGGCCGGCCCTGGGGCGGGCGGGGTCCTCAGGAGCAGCGGGGAGGGGGCTGGGGGTCAGCTTGGGTCTGCAGCAGGGAGCCTCCCCCCACCTCCCATCAGCCTGGGGACCCCACGTGGCCAGTGCTGCTCTCCAGAAGCGGCTGGCTCTGGACACAGAGCCCTCCCACCTTTCCCCGGCTCCTCCCTCCTCGCGGAACACCTCCCTCACGGGGCCAGAGGCATGCCCGGGACTGCAGAACACCTGGATGGGGGGTGTGGCCCATAGGTGGGGGCCCAGAGACAGCCCTGCAGTGTGGGTCTGCCGACTGGGCCACGGCCAGACAGTGCTGTGGGGGCTCCCTGGTCTGGAGACCTTGACAGCCCCTTCTGTGCACCCCCTGGGGGGTGGAGGCAGAGGCCTCCTGCAGCTTAAGGACCTGGGCAGGGGACGCTGGCACCACCCGACCGCTGGGGAGGGCTGGGACCTGGAGCCTGGCCTCCAGCCAAACCTACACCTCGGCCAACTCGCCACCAGGCTGTTCCACCTGGGGACAGGGGACACCCTGTGGCCAGACAGGTGAGGGGCAAGAAGCAAGGCCTGCAGGCGGCACCCCCCAACAAAAGCACTCCCACCCAGGCACACCACACAACCGCACATAGCCACACACGCCACCCACACGCACGCACCCTGCACGGGTGGCACACCTGGGACAGGTGTGCACGGAGACTCAGAGATGCAAGAACAGTGTCAGCAGCTCAGAGGCCTGGAAAGACGCTGAGGGATCCCCAGCCAGCTCCGAGCGGAGGCCGGCTGTGCTCCCTCCCCAGGGCGAGCATGTCACAAGTGGCCCTGGGTAGAGGAGGGTGCACGGCGCCACATGTCTCCTCTCCTCTCCTCCTGCTGCTTTGTGGGCGGGCCTCAACTGATCCCAGCACCCTGCGGCCCCCACCCCCGCCTGAGCCTCAGACTCCACGGCGGCGACGCCTGGCCCTGTCTGGAGGCCTCAGGCCAGTCCAGCAAAGCATCTCAGGCATGCGGGGAAGCGGCCCAGCCTCAGCCTCACCAGCACGCAGCCCGCACAGTGTCTGCAACACCAAGGAAGCGCCCGCAGGTGTCAGGCTCCAGGGCTCACAGATGGGGCCTGGCGGGCCGCCCAGGGGGCAGAGGAGCGGGTCCACCGTGACCGCAGGGGCCGGCAGGGACGGCCCAGGGCCAGCAGCTGGGGCTGAGGGGCTGGCACCAGGTCCAACAGGGACCGCCGGGGCTGACACGGGGGCCCCAGGAGAGGCCGGCGGGGTGGGCCTGGCTGTCCCAGGAGAGAAGGGCGGTCGGGGATGGGGAGTAAGGGCTGGGGCTGGCAGGACTGGTTGGGGCCCATGAGTGGCCGCAGGGGCTGGCAGGGCTGCTCCGGGCCCATGAGTGGCCGCTTGGGTGGCCGAGGCTGCTCTGGGCCCATGAGTGGCCGCTTCTGTTGGCACGGCTGTCCTGGGCCCAGCAGCGAGGGCTTGGGGGGGCCGGGCTGCTCTGGGGCTTCAACTAATTGCCGAGGCTGACGGGCACCCAGGAGGGACCGCCGGGGGCGGCCAGGCTGGCCCAGGAGGGACCTTCGGGGCTGGCCGTACTGACACGGGGCTAGGAATGCCCGCCGGAAGCAGCAGCACGGGCGCGGGAGGAAGCTGGCAGGCCGGCGGCGTGGTCGCAGGGGCAGGAGTGGCCGTGGGGGCTGGCACCGCGGGCACTGGGCTAGCAGGGACCACAGCGGCCGCCAGCGCTGTCCTGAGGAAGCCCCGCTGGGCTGGCTGCAGTGACAGGGGCTGGCCCATGGCCACCGGGGCCGGCAGCGGTGCCACAGGGTCAGCAGTGACCGCAGACACCGGCAGCGGTGCCCTGGGGCCAGGAGCGAGCGCAGGCGCCGGCAGTGGAGGCAGGGGCCCAGGAGGGACCGCGGGGCCAGCAGGGAGCGCAGGCGCCGGCAGTGGAGGCAGGGGGCCAGGAGGGACCGTGGGGCCAGGAGCGAGCGCAGGCGCCGGCAGCACTGCCTGAGGCCCGGGAGCGCCCCGCGCGGCTGGCAGGGCTGAGCCCGGCGCGACTGCCGGGGCCGACACTGCTGATCTGGGGCTGCAGGCAGCTGCTGGGGTCTGCAGGGTTGACGGGGGCCCGGAGGTAACCGCCGGGGCTGGCAGGGCTGTCTCAGGCCCGGAAGTGACCGCTGGGGCCAGGCGCGCTGACCCGGGGGTGGCCGCTGGGGCTGGCGGGGCTGGCTGGGCTGCCTGGGGTCCGGGGGCGCCGTCGGGGCTGGGGGGGGGCCCTGGGGCTGGCTGGGCTGGCTGGGCTGGAGCTGCTGCTGGCGCTGGGCCGGGCCGTTCTGGTCCCGGTGGTTGGCTGGGAGCGGCCCCCCTTCTGGGGAGCACACCTGCATGGAAGAAAGAGCACGTGTCCACCTGGGCAGGTGCGCCTGCGGACCCCCCATCCAGCCCAGGCCCGGGAGACATGCTGCCCCTCTCTAGTGGCCCGAGTCCCGAGGGAGCCAACAGCGGAGCCCGACACGCCAAACAGAACCCCTTTCTGAAGAGAAGGCGCAGGCCAGCAGACCCCCGGGAGGAAGCAGCGCAGGCTGGGCCCAGGACAGAGCCCAGGCTGGGAGCAGCCCTGGGCCAGCTGCCTGCCGCTCTGACCAGACGGGCAGGCGGAGCCCTGTGTCCCGGCCGTGCCATGCACCTGGACCACCAACCACAAGTCACGTGCCTGTGGCGACCACCGGGGCTGGCCGCTCCCCTCCCCGACGCCGCGCACATGAGCGGAAGGCGCTGTGTGCGCAGCAGGAGAGCGCCTGGCAATGAACCTGGTCCCCGCGCTGCCAGCAGACGCGCTGGACGCCACTGGACGCCGGGTGGGCGGCGGAGCCTGGCGGACGCAGAGGGAAACGGGGCCGGCCTATCAGCGTGGCGCCGCCCAGCATGAGCGCTCCTCCCTGCCCGCCCACCGCGGCCCTGGGCAAGGCGCTGCCTCCCTGCGACCCGCCCTGTCCACACGTGCCCACACCCGGGCCGGCAGCGACGGGATGCACCGCCAGGCAGGCCAGCGCTGCTGCGGTGGTGTCCAGGTGCTGGTGGCCCTGGCCGCCTGCCGCACTGAGCTCGGACCCTGCCCGAGCTCCCGAGGGGCGGGACCTGGCTCACCTGCTTGGAGGGCTGCAGCGGGACTTTCCTCGGGCCATCGCCGGCAGGCTCCACGTCCTGCCCCGGGCTGCCTGGCTCCAGGGGCCGCCGGTGCTCGCTGGGCTCCGCAGGGGGGCCGTTTTCCGACTCCCGGGGCTTCTTGATGAGGCGGCGTTCCCACTTCTCCTTCCGCTCATGTGGCTTCAGGGCCATGTCCTTCTGCGGGGAGAGGAGGGGAAGCAGTTAACTGGTGGGGACACCCAGCAGGACCACGCCATGCTCAGGGCCGGGCCCCAGCCTGGGCAGCACTACCAGGGCGGTGCCCCACGTGGGCTCACGGGCTGCGGCCACAGCTACGGGAAGAGGTCCCCACCTTGGGAAGTCACCTCTGAGGGGGCAAGGAGACAGACAGGCGAGACGAGACGCTGGCGTGGGCGGCCCCACGACACATGGCACGTCCCTCCTGGGCCTGGCCCGAGTCCTCAGCTCTGGAGGCCCATTCCATACCCAGCACCTGGGCGGGGGGCCAGGGACACCCCACGGGAAGCACCCCCCAGGTGACACCACATGGATGTGCCCCGTGATAACCCACACCCCACAGCAAGTGCTCCCCAGTGACGTCCCCCAGGGACACCCCACGGGAAGTGCCCCCCACGTGCCGGAGGACCTGAGGGGACTGGTAATGTCCACTACTCTGGGACACAGACCCTCACCGTGGTGGCAGGCCACCTGTGCTCCTGCTGGCCTCTCCTGGTCCCTGTCAGCCCCTTGCCCACCCCAATCCTTCAGAGCAGGTGCAGACTACGCCTGTGGGCAGCACCCCCCCCCCCGCATCCAACAAGCCAGCAGTGAGCGCCTGCTGTATGCTAGCCCGGCTGCAAGACCAGCGCAGCAGAGACAGACACGCTTGGGTTCCAGAAGATGCGGCACCCGTGAGGACAGCGCACCAGGATCGGAGTCCTCCAGGAGCGGGAGCAGTGAGGGGACACTGGCAGTGAAGCCCAGGACAGGGGCCTGGGGCACCGCTCCTCCCACACACAGGGCCAGGCAAAGGGGCTGCCCCAGCTCAGGGCCACGGTGTCCCTGGGGAGGAAACCTCACTGCTCCTCCGGTGAGGACACGGATGGCGGGTGTCCCCAGCAGGCCGAGCTGTCCCCAGGAGGCCCCGCGACAGTCCCCACAGGGCCTCCCGTGCCAGCCCCACAGCCCGACAACGGGGAGGCCTCCGGCCCCTAGACCACCCAGGAGCTGTTGGGGTCACCACTGGGGGGTCAGGACCCCACCTGCTAAAGGCACAGGAAGTGCCCCCCGCCTCGCTGGGCTCCCCAGACAAGACAAACACTGCAGCCGAGCAGGAACGGGCTTTCCGTGGCATCTGCATCGGAAGTGTGAACAGGTAAGGGGTGACGCCCCAGTGACTGGGCACTCGCACCGAGCTGGGACTCGACTAATGAGCTGGACGGGAGGGACACAGGGTGAGGCAAGCCCAGCAAAGCGTCCGGTGGGGACCAGGGAGGGTGCCAGGCAGACAGACCCCTACACCTGGGTCTGACTGGCCTCACGGGCCAGGGCACCCACTCTCTGGTCACCACTGCGTTTGCATTTGGCAGCAGCAAACAGTTCTGATTTGTCACGTTTTCTGTGCACCTGTCTCGCCATTTCTTTGCTTTCAAAGTCACAGAGATTTCTACTGGCCCCTCCCTCAGCCCCCGCTACAGTCACACAGCACAGGACAGTTTCTGGTCCACGTCTGTCCTGCCCTCGCTCAGCCCCAGGCAGGGCTCACAACTGGTGACGAAGGAACATTTTAGAGAACGGCATCTCACCCTGGGGACACTGAGCCCTCCGGAAGTCCCAGGCTTTGCAAACGACTCTGTGCCGTGGCCCCCAGCCTGGGCTCCAGCATGCTCACCTGGGAGGGAACAGACAGTTCCCATGGGGGCCAGTGGGGCTGTCCCCAGCCTCTGCAGGTGAGAGCCACCGCCTCACCTGGTGCCCTAAGAAGATGTGGAAAGCACCCGGGCCTGGGACAGCGCTGGCTGGCCTTGCCAGGGGAGAACAGGGCCGTGCTGCCCAGCCAGCCACCCCGGGGCTCTCCAGGGCGAGGCAGACCCTGGGTGGCACCTGGCTGGCTTCAGGGGCCACAGCAACACCCCAGCACTGCGCCACAGAGCCCTGACGGAAGGGGCCCTCGCTGCCCCATTACTGTCCCCGACACAGGAACGTGGGCCACCAGGACCCTGCTCTGACCAGAGTCACTTGGTTACTCCTCGTCCACCGTGAGGGGTCAGCGCTGCAGCTCAGAGAAGCTAGAGACGTCCTGCCCAAGGCCACCAAGGCAGGCGGCAGCATGCTGTCCCCTGCGGGGGTGAGGACTGAGGGGTGCAGAGCCCGAGGCAGCCCGCCCCCGAGTGAAGGTGTGGGGACCCCGTGCGCCAGGGCAGGGCGGTCGGCGAGCTCCGTTATTCAAGTTCTCTGCAGGGCGCTGGGTCTGCGCCGGGCGCTCTGCTCAATGCTTGACCAGCGTCCACAGGCGCCCATGTGACCTATAACGACGTTGCTGTGACTACCCAGCATGAAGTGAAGAAACAGAGGCACAGAGAGGCCTCCACACCGTCCAGGATCCCTGTCCTCAGCACCACCCAACCCAGCTCTGGGGGCCGCCAGCTCCCGCCACCAGCAGGGAGGCCCCAACGCCCCCAGGTGGGTGCACACACCCCGAGTGCCGGCCAGCACCCTCCGCAGAGCAGTGGCCAGGCCCCCAGCCTCTGCTCCCCTCCCCAGGAGGACCACTGGGTTGGGTGCACTGCTGTGAAATCCCCAGCTACATTGGCCTGGAGCAGTTTTACGCCACTGTGTTTATCCCCCTAAACGTTGTTGCTACGTAGCACCAGTGAAGTTCCTAACTGCACTACAGCAAACCAAGCAGAGACATAAAAGTAATTAAAACTCCGCGAACGGCCCTTTCCCCCTCACGAGGACGAGGCTGCGGGCGGCTCAGCTGCCTGTTGCCACAATCCTGCTGGCGCACACGTCCACCAAGGCCGCCTCGCCCAGCCAGCACAGCGCCCCGAGACTCCTCCACTGCGCACCGCCCCCCCCCGCCCCAGTCCCCTGCACTGCCCCCCCAGACCAAAGGCTGGATGGGAGCTGGCACGGGACACCCAGGGGGCAGCGCCCACCCGTGACCCTGGTGTGGGGACTGTGTCTAATTGTCCCTCCAGCCAAGAAGGTGGGGACAGGGCTCTGTGCCACCCTGACTCGTCTCCCCTCAGCTCACACCCACCTGGCAGGCAACAGCCCCCATCTCCCCTTGCCTAGTGCATGTGACGTCGGGGACCATGCCTTACACGCACTGAGGGGACTGTCCCCGGCAGACCTTGCCAACACCTCACTTGCTCCAGAAGCACCTGCTACACTGTTCTGCAGGCCCACAGCTCTCGGCTGGCCAGGGGCCGGCACCTGGGAGCTGGGAGCCAGGCCACCAGTGCTGGCTTCAGGCCCGAGCACCCAGTGTGGGCACGTGGGCTGCTACTCGAGGAGCGGAGGCAGGGCCTGGGGTCTGCAGCGGGTGGGCTGCCTGGGTGTGGAGAGGCCCAGGGCACCTACCGGTCATTGCTCGTTTCCTGGGCAGAGCACTGAGCACCTGCCGCACCTGCCCAGGAGGGTTCTGCAGGAAGACCTCTGCCAGGCCCTGGGGGGAACCCACACTGTGGCCAGGGAGAGCCACCTGGAGACATGCTAGACACGGGCTGATAGGGACAGGTGCTGCCTGGCCAGAGGCCGGTGCCAGGATGGGCACAGAGGGGCAGGGGGTGGCCGCCTGCCCAGGTCCACACTGGGCCGCTGCCTGCCGCCATCCACCCACTGGCACCCCCTGTGCCTGCCCAGCCACCGTGATCACGTCCGCCTGGAGAGCACGGGTGCGAGCCAGCCTGGCATGAAGGCTCTGGGTCAGCCCCGCTGGGCACCCCGCAGCCTGGCTGGTATTTCCTCCCTCCAGCTCAGCGCGCCGAAAGGCCACAGCTCACGCTGGACGTGGCCTGCAGCCTGCTGGCCGGATCGCCGTGGGGCTGCCATGAGGGCTGAGGCAGCACAAGTGGAAACAGCCCAGGGGTGGCCCTAGCCCCCTGGGATCTACAGAGGATTCTAGAAGGGCCTCTTGTGGGGACTGGCCAGCACCGAGGCCGCAGGGGGGATGAGGGCTGGAATGGTGGTTACCCCACAGGGGACATGGGAGGCCCCGGTGATGCCACAGGATGCAAGTGTGGTCAACTTTGTGGGATGAACACGGGTCCTATGCCCTCTTGTATATGAGAACTTTCTCACAAATAAGAAATAAAATGGAGAGAGAAACCAGGTCACTCAGACATAGACAGAGGTGACCATCCAAAAGGGAGCCTGGTGTGGGGGTGACAGGCAGGCGAGGCCCTCCCAGGGCAGGTGCCGGCTGAGACCCGGCAGGAGGAAGGCACGGAAGCCAGAGCCCTGGCGCCTCCCTTGATGGCCGGGGCTGAGGGGCCAGGAGCTGCCATTTGCCTGAAGCCTTGAGCACCAGAGTGAGGCCGGCCCAGGCCTGACTCCTGTCCCTCGCCACAGCTCCTCCTTGACCTCCAGACAGCAGGGGGGCATCCGGAGCACTCGCCCACATGGGCAGAGGAGCCGGTCTCTGAGGCCCTGGCGGCCTCACTCTGTACAGGGACCCGCGCAGCTGGTGCTGACAGCTGCAGCTCGCCTGTGCCTCTTGGGCTGCCCACCACCCCAGAGTGTCTTCTGCAGCCCAGGGAGGCCCAGGGCCAGCACGGGTGTCGCTGCAGCCACAAGGCCCGGGACGTGAAGGACCCGGTGGCAGTCGTAGGTCAGCCCTGCCTTCAGACCAGGAGCACTGGTCTACGTGCACCAGGGGGACAGAGGCATCTGACAGCCCCGGGGCAGGGGGCCCAGTGGGAGGAGCTGGCCCTGAGAGTAATCGAGGCTGAGACAGCTCTCCTGCCTCCTGCCCCAGGGACCCGTCCACACCAGGGGGCTGCCCCTCCCTGGGCAGTCACACAGGGCCCCTGGGCTCTTTCCCTGCCCAGATCCTGGCCTCGCAGTCCTGGGGAGAGGCACATGGTCGTGACAGCCCAGGATGGGGGAGCAAAGGGCTGGCCGTGTGGGCACAGGCTGAGGGCCAGAGGGGACAGCTGTGGCGGGAAAGGCTATTCAGGACCTGAGGGTCC